AAAACAAATTAAAAAAAAGAACAAGAAAAGCCTCCCAAAAAACAGAAAAAAAAAACACAATGGAAAAAGCAATGCCCTCAGGGATCCCTCTGTGTGTCTGTGGAAGCCGCGGGGGTAGTCTCCTCGCCACTCAGCACCGCCTGGCCAGAAAGGGCTCCCAACTCAAGAAAAGGAAAAGAAAACAAACAAACAATTCAAAACAAACAAACGAACAAAAGCCCCGGGATTCCACCAGCATGGCAGCCCAGACCGGGAAGCAGCTCCATACTCAAACGGAGCTCCACAGCCCCTCAGGAAGAAGCAAAGATGGCGCACAGAGCCAGGTATTTGATCGAAAGGAGGGGGAGGTGGTGAGAGATTAGGAAGAAATCAAAAGAAGTAGAAAAAAAGCAACACCAGCAGCCAACAAATGGCACGGCCCTTTCAGGTGTGTGGAATCCAAGCAGCCAGTGTTTCCTGGACAAGAGATTGTGGCTGCGGGAAGCAGAGGAGGCTGAGTCGGGGTGAAGAAGGGTGGGGGGGTGGGAAAGCGGATATCGCAAATTACCGGTTGTTTTGTCTCCCACTGGACGCTCCGTGACGCTGCTTTCTCATACTCCCTGTTTGCTTGTCTCCGATAGGAGTCCAAGTTGGCGGATCTGCGCTGCGTTAGCTGGTAGGGGACCTCTGCATGAATCCCTCCTCGCTCTCCATTCTCTGTCAGTTTTCTCACTCCATTTGTTGCTTGGCTGAGTTCTTTATCTCTTCATTTGATGTTTTTGGGTTTCAGGATTGTTGTATTCTCTGTTCAGCTTAGTTTTTCGGATCTTTGCTGTTGAGGGACGGCATGGTGCTTCTGCCTAGAGCGCCATTTTGCCGCAACTCCTCTTCCTCTGTACTTCTTATTTTGCTATCTTCTTTCTCTGTGCTGCAATCAATGTGATTGTCTTCTGTCTTCCAATTCCCAAATTCTCTCTTCAACCATCTCTTCTCAATTTAATCTCTTTATTGGGCCTTTAATTTCAACAATTGTGTTTTTCATTGCTAAACATTGTATCGTTAGTTTTCAGATGTGCTTCATTTATTACATTTTATGATTTACTTTTTCAGATACTAGTATCGACAATAATTCTGATTTTGCATGTGGTCTTGCAGATTTCCTTCTAATAATCTCAAGGGAATACTTCAGTAGTCTTGGTATTTTTTGGATTTGTAATGTGATTGTAGGTGACTCATTGTGACATGGTCAGAGGGACAGCTTCCCAGAATGCACATGTTCTCCCCTTCTCCGTACCCCCTATCCCCACCCCCGGTATCGGCACCAGCTGTCTGCTCTGTCACCTCCCTGTCTGGGAGGAGGAAGATTAAACACTGGACTTATACATACTCATGTGTTCACTGTTGGAAAATGGACTGATGAAGTGCCAGGGCACTCTGGAAGTGGACTTTTAGCTATTCGAGCCTGTGACCTGTGAGGGCTGGAAATGGTGGTATCCTCTGCTCCACAGCTGTCAGGAAATGGCTTCCTGGGTGCAGTGTGATGGATTGCTTTTGTATGGCCTTTCTCGCCATGGTCTTGTAACACCCACCCAAGTGATTAGGTGGGACTGTGCAAATAAGGCAATTGTGGCCCCCCAAGGGGATTGGTCAGTTTTGTCTTCAAAGAGAGCCAATTCCAGAGCAGAGAGAGGATCCCACCATTGCCAAGGAAGAACAGCCAGGAGTGGAGACCACGTCCTTTGGACCTGGGTGGGATCCCTGCACTGAGAAGCCCTTGGAACCAGGAGACCGAGAGAGAGAGTAAGCTGTAACCCTGAAGATGGCAAGAAGTGGTGGCAGGAGACTGTGCAGTGGGCTTCCTGGCCCGTGGAATAAGAAAGCTGAGTGTCTGGGGACTTATTGGCAGGGTCTAAAAGAGCTTTGTAACACTTGTCTGAGCAGGGCAGAGGCCGAGGGCCAGAGAGAGGTGTGCCCGTGAGCAAAGCTGAAAAGAGGCTGTCCTGATGGAAGAACTGTATCCTGAGCGTTCTTGAGCCTGAATTGTAAGCTGTTACTTCTCTAATAAACCCCATAATCGTGAGTATGGTCTGTGAGTTCTGTGTGGCCATTGCAATGAATTGTTGAACCCAGCAGAGAAGTAGAGAGTGCCTTGGCAGGGACGGTTGGTGTCAGAATTGGTAAAGATGGCAGAGAGAGGAGGCATGTCTGACCTCCGCCTCATAAGTTAGCCTTGGGCCGTTGATCTTGAATCTCTTTCCCCTTGTGAAGTTAGAGGAGGTCATATGCTGCCCCCACGCCGTTTTTACAGTGGGGCTGCCAAAGGGACCTAGGATGTGGCTTCCTCTGGACAGAGTCCCCTTCTGGGGGGAGCAGGGGGTGCCTTTGGTTGTGTCTTACTTATCTAGTGCTGCTGTAACAGAAATACCACAAGCGGGCGACTTGAACAAACGAATTCATTTTCTCTCAGGCGAGGAGGTTAGAAGTCTGAATTCGGGGTATAACTCTAGCGGAGGGCTCTGTCTCTGTCGGCTCTGGGGGAAGGTCCTCGTCTTTGAGCTGCTGCTCCTGGGCGATCTTCATGGGGCTTGGCAACTCTTTGCCACCATCTCTGCTTCACTTGCTGGCTTGTTTAATCTTTTAAATCTCCAAAGAGATTGATTTAAGATGCAGCCTACACTAATCCTGTCTCATTAGCGTATGTGATTATAACCACAGGATTAGAGGCTAGAATTTACAGCATGTATTTTTAGGGGACACAATTCAATCCATAACAGGTGGGCTCTGTTAGTCTTTCAGGGACGGTTTCACCAGGTGAGGGGCGAGGAGTGGGCTTGCTGGATACCAAGTGGACTTGGATGTGAGAGGGTGCGTTTCCACACAGGCTGGGAGGCGGGCTGGGGACCTGGGGCTGAGGGGTGGGCTGGGGACCTGGGCCTGGGGGCAGCTGGGGGCAAGATGGCCCAGCAGTGGGAACAGAATGCCATTGGACACATGCAGCTGATTTGAAGATTGAAGTTATATGTCGTCTCTTCACTTCCCTATGTGGAGGACGTGTGGGGCCTCTGTTGGTGGGAAAAGAGCTCTTATAGCAGTCCTGGCGTCTGTTCCTCGGTTACCTTTCCCTCGGGGGGCCCGCTGCTTGGAGGTGGCCGAGGACTTAGGAAGAATAACCCCATGTGTGGCCACAGTGCAGGGCACAGGCCCTGGTTGTGAGCCAGACGTCTGTCGGCCTGTGCCTCTCACCGCGCTTCACACCCAGACCAGGGTCCTCCGGGGCTGCAGCTGCTCAGGGAGCCCCCGAAGGCGGGGCCTGGGACATGAGCCCCTCTGGGACCAGAAGGAGTCCCCTTGAGGACCGAGGCCTGGATGGGGCCGCATGAACGCTGTGCAGTGGGTGCCTCAGACCTGCGTGGGCACCACTCTCCCTCTGTCCATCTGTGAGCCACTCTGGAGCTGTGGCCTGTGCTAGGATGGGCACCCTCACACCTCAGCAGGGCTGCATGCTGCCCCAACACCCTCTTCCTCAGCAGGACTGCACGCCGCCCCGACACTGGGCACGCTCTGTCCTGCCTCCCGGCTCCCTCCACAGCCTGGCTCCCCTGGGCTTCTTCCCTGGTCTCTCGGTCTCTCGAGGGCATCCTTCCTCACTGTCTCTGTCCCGGGCTTGTCCTGCTCTGCCGCCCGGCACATGGCCTCTGGGTTAGTGTCTCTGCCGCCGTTCAGCAACACCATTCTAACACTGTCCTTCCAGACGTCCTGCAGGAAACTGGTGGAGCTCCTCCTGATAGCAAGTGTGTGTCCCTCAGGACATCCGGCTGCCCCCTGCATGCCCTCCAACCCCCCTCTCCAGGCAGTGTCCACACCAGCTCGCTGTCTTGGCACCACCGAGTGTTCTCATCTCGGGTGCCTGTTCGCCTGCCCCTCTCCACCCCAACGCCGTTCCCCTCCCCCAAGCCCCTTTCCTTGGACACTCCTCCTGCCCGCCTGCCCACTGCCGTGGCCGCTCCACCCTGTCCCTCGGGTGGGCAAGTGGGCAGCTGGGTGTGGTAGCGAGGAGCAGCAGCCTTGGCTGTGTCCTCTGCCGTTGGTTGGCCGGGCCACCTTGGGGAGCATCTCTGGGCCCCAGTTTGGCCTCCATAGGGGAGGTGATGACAGTGAACCCAGAGGAGGTGACAGTGAACCTGGGGCAGGCGACGACGGTGAACCTGGGGCAGGCGACGAC